AACGAATGAACTATCTATCAGGCTTTTCACCACGTATATGACACCCTAGAAAAAATTGAAATACACCACCATGAATTATATGGTGCAAATAATATATACAACGGCAAATGGGATTTTCTGAATTATCATAAAAAAAACTTCAAAATGCGATATAAAATCAGGAAAAATTGGTACAGACTTCTAATTAGCACCATAAAATTCTTTGGCACCAGAAGTATGGTAGAAAATATCTGGGCTGGTTAACGTTCGAATTGAAGTAGTTTCAGGTATGTCAGGGCATAAAATCAACGGGGAGCGATAAAACTTGTCTGTGTGCTTTGTAATCATTGTTGATATCTGAAGTACAGATGGTGTGTTTCTGGGTAATTCCACGATAGATTTGAAGGAGTTTGAGTTAAGTTACTTCAATGCCATTACCTGCAGGACAAGTAGATGGATGCAGTACACACACCATCATGGCGCTAAAAGTTGCAAATCGCAAGCAAATCAAGAATGATACTACAGTAATACTTACAATACGCTATACTGCTGGCTGCAGGAGTTTCATGGAGCCGAATTGAATACTGAGATATTTGGCAGGCTTTATGTGCTTTCTTAAACCATTCTTGCATGTAGAGGAGGACTTTGCAGGATTCACCACTGGTAAGACAAGTCGAGTGGGCTCTAATACCATTACTATGTTCCGTACGGTTCAAAGATTTGTGTACGTCGTTTGTACGCAGGACGAGCGCTTTTTGGCACCGCGCACCGAAAAAACACATAGTAACGAGCGGGACTTCGTGCAGGACGGAAAAGCTTAACTATGGTGGTGGGAGCCAGTACCAAAAGGCTTGGAAGCCGGCACTTTTTCGCCATTTTGCGGGCAAATTCGCATCACAGCATCAAGCACCGGGCAAACTTCGCATCACAGCATCAGCACTAGTGTAGTATACAGGACTCGCGGGGAGGAAGGGGGCTGTTGGTGGTGAGGGACGCCGATGTGGGGAGATGAAGTGAGGTGGAAAATGTGACCAATAGGTCGATGTAGTCTGGAGATTACACCGAAATATTAGTCAAATTTTTGTTTGTAGGGGAAGTTGGTGGGAGTATGTCTGTGGTGGTGGCATGTGTGTAGGACTGGTGGTTGGAGAGACACGTGATGATTCTCGGAATATGAAGAGCGAGCGCGGGGTCGTTGGTTGTTCGTTTGTGCGAAAAGGTCGTGTCTGTACCAGAAAGTGGTTGTGGTCTTGGTGTACGTTTGGCCAATGGTTACGAGCCCGTAATGGCGAGCGCGACTGCGGCCACTGGTTGCAAAATGCGACTTGTGCAGAAATATACAGGATGCGCGCTGTGACTAAAGATGACTCAGAGCCATGGGAGTCTTTTTTTCGTGGCCAGTATACAGGACGCGCGCAGTGACTAACGAGTCGAACTGTGAGAGGACTACTGCCACTCTGCGCCTGAAAACTAAATGTAAAAACCAGGAAAATTTGAATAATGTGGGGAAGTTGAGAAGATTCGGTAAGTGTGTAGTGTGAAGGTAGTATGGTAGTGGTTTGACTGTCTGCTGGTACAGCGTAGTAGTGGACGTGGCACTGCCTGTAGAAAGTGTACATTTGATGGCTGTATTGCCGCTTTGAAAATTTCTCACTGCGATAACCATCTGATGGTGAACCCGCGAGACTGCGCTATCCCCAGGCGTGATGAAGGTGACTATGCCAAATGATTACTTAATGTGACTTGGGCGTTGTTTTGTGGACAACTGAGTGCCCGTTGCGCGTTTACTCTGTGGAAGTGACACAGTCACTGGGGCGTATTTTAATGGGTCCATGACCAGACTAAAGCGGAGACTATCATTAGTTTGCACTGTGGAATGGAAATTGGGAATTTTCTGCCGTTGAAATTACGTATCTGGCGGTGGACTTATTGCCACGTGTCATATGGAAGTAGTGACTGGTCCTGGTGATTACTCTGAGTTGGACGGAAGACTCTGTACTATTGTTGGTACCATTACTGCTCCGTTGTAATTGGGAGACTGTCATCCTAGCAAGTATATACCCTTAGAACCACTCAATACACGTGTACCTGTGACCTACATGTAGCCTATATGTTCGCGGGAAGCGACGCGTCTGCACTCTAACACCCATGACCTCGTCTGGCCCTGAGGAGACACCGACGTGGACTCGGCCGGTGGGAGAACTCCCCACTCCCGGGACTACCCAAACCAACGACTGTGCCGGGCAATTTGTGGTCCCCACCGCGGAAGTGTTCAGTGGGGATGGACTCGAGGAAATCCGGACTGTCCACTCTTTGGGCAACGACCTCGATGCCTACACCGAGTCGCCCGATGGAGACGTTGGTGTCCCATTCAACCCTTGCGACTGGACAAAGGAACACCCCGACTTTACCGTTCACAGGCACCATGAGACGGGAATCAATGTTTGCGGCCATGACCACAGCCCAAAGATTGTGCCTCGGAGGAACGTCGAGGATCACTTGAAAAAGTTCCACCCTTTGCCGAAGAATGCAGCGTCCAAAGCCGCCGCAAAGGAAAAGCGGGCCCAGTTGAAGAAGCTCCTCCTCTCTAGCAAGGTAGACGAGATCCCCCGTTTCGTCGACTACAAGTTCCCCCTCATGCCCGTGAGCAACGAGACGTATTGTGCTGATTGCAAAAAGGTGTACAAGGAAAAGCGGCTGCACAAGGCGGGCCCTCTTTGTGAAGACGGCCACCAGTTCCCCGTCATATGCAACACGTACGGCAACGACAAGGTGGTGATTGGCCCTGAGCCGAAAGTGTCCGCCGATGAGGATCTCGATCGGATTCTCGATGCGTCGTATAAACACACGCTCGAACTTCCTGTGATTGCGTTGGAGAACGATCTGGTGGAAACGGCCGAGATTGCCAAGGCGTTCGGGTGGACCTACAAGTTGCGAGGGAAAACGCTGGCAGACGTCGCCCATCTCCTCGCCGATGCTAGCAACGACGAGCGAGAGTTGTGGGAGTTTGAAGTTCGGTTGAGCAAGATCATGACCACTGCCCACGATCTAGTGACGCCGCTCGTCGCCATGGTCGACAGCGTTGCCGGCATGAAGGACTTTCGAAAGAGTCGGTTGTTTTCCACCTTCAAGGACTACTTGGGATTGTTGAAGATGGTGATGCGGTATACGTTGCGGACGTGGCAATTGGACGAGACGGAGCGGAAGTACAGCTTGAGTGTGGAGTTGCATCGCGCATTGGGTGGGTTGCGGTTGGGTGGGTTGACGGACATCGAGAGGTACAAGGCAACAAAGACATTGGACGCCGTCGACAGTGAGGTGCTCGAAGTCATGTGGCTATTGACGATTGAACCTGTGGGGAAGACGTACAGCACGCATCCGTGGGTGATGGCCATTGGCTCGAAGATGCTCAACCTGCGGGGCGGTTTCAACATGGACGACACGTACCACCGCTACTTTACCGCCATGCAAAAGATGGGACGCTACATCTATGTCAGGAAAGCATGGCACCACGATCCAAGCTGCCCCCAGAAATGGCTCCATGCACAGGAAGTTTTGCGCCGCAATTGCCCCCACGACATTGTCAACACCTTTACCAAGATGGAAGGGCTTCGTGCCAAAAGGAGTGGGCGGTACTTGCCACTCGGTCCGATGCAGTGGTACCCCGAGTACAACCAGGTAAAGTACCGGGGCAAGTTCATTGACTTTACCACTTTTGGTGACGCCCTCAAGAGAATGGTCCATGATGCCAAAGAGTTGATGTGTTTGCAGTGGGGGGTTGACGACTTTGACCAAATTCCTGGGTTTGACTTTCACGCCACCGAGGACCAGTTTTTCCCCAACCACGGCGACTGGCTAGCACGAGACACCATGAGGCAGGACCGCATCCTTGCCCGGAAGATCCTTCTCAAGAGTGGGAAGATGAGGTTGGAAGATGGCAAAGTGGATTGGGTGCAAGGCGAACGTGAGTTGTGGGAAAGACGGCAAGGCAAGCTTTCGGAGTTGATGGCAATGATGTACTATTTTAGCGGGTCGGGGGTGGCCCGGGCACCCGAGTTTAAGGTGGTGCGGTGGCGGAACAACGGCCAGGGCACAAAATGCAGCACGAACTTTTACATGTATCGCGGGCAAATGTTCGTGCACACGTTCAACCAAAAGTCCGAACGGTTCCGCGCCACCGGGGTGATACGGTTCTTGCCTGAGGATGTCAGCCAGATCTACATGAAGGCGTTTCGCTTTGCGTTCCCGATAATGGGGGACTTTGACGACGACACGGAGAGGAAGCGGTTCCAACCCAACGACTTTCACTTTAACGCGTTTCCCAACTACAAGGACTGGATCAACTCGGTGATCCACCTCGCTTTCAACAGGTATCTTGGAGTCAAGGGCGGTCTCAAAGACCTCCGCCATATTGTGAGTGCGTTGTTTACCATGCACGGGATGGACATGGCCGAGTTTGGGGATGATGCGTTTGACAACGACGAAGACTACGAGAACAACCAGGACGATGAGCTTTACGACGGCGGCATTGACGGTGTTCTTCACCGGCTTTTGGGCCACCTGGCGCAGACGGGACGCACCAAGTACGGCGGAGCCCAGTACTTGACGGGGGAAGCCACCCAGCAAGAAGTGCTCAGGATGTATTTGGTGTCGAGGAAGGTGCAGAGGTGGATGGGAATCCCAACGTCCAACGTTATCCGGTCGACCGAGCAGGGTCTGCGGGATTTCCGACGGAAGCGTACGCGGCAGATGATGGAGATGGACGGCCAGGCCAACTTTGAGCGGGTGATGAAGGGGAAACGGGTCAAGCCCAACCCGGGACAACTTGAGATCATCGAGGCTGCCGCGAACCGGACGACGTCGGATTCGGTATCGCTTGTGGTTGCGCCCACGGGGCTGGGCAAGACGGCTGCGATTGCTGCGATTGCCGCCGATGTGAACGCCCGGACGTCGGTGGTGGTGGTGCCCACAGTGGCGCTTGTGTATGACTTGGTGGACCAGCTTAACGGGTACTTTGGGATTGTTGCGGTGGCGTTGAATGATGTGGCAGGGTACAACTACCGACGCCAGCACCTGGTGGTGGTGATGACGTATGAATACGCTGAAAAGCGGCACGATTTCTTCGAGAATTTGGGCTGGTGCCTCGACGTGTGCTGGGTAGATGAACTGCATTACATTTGGAATTCTAGCAGTGCTTTCCGGGGCTCCATCAAGGGGGGGTTGCAGCGGATGCTCACGTACCCTTGCAAGGTGATGTTGATGACCGGGACGCTCGCGCTCAACGAAGAAAAGCGGCTTATCAAGGAGTACGGGTTGAAACCCGAGCAGGTTGACACCACTGTGCGTGTGCCCATCAAGCACCCGCACTTTGAGTACGTGTATGAGAACATTGACCTTACAGAGGCCGAAGATGCTGCCGAGTTTGTAATTGAATGGTTACCGCGTGTTCCAGACAAGGGCAAGGTGATTGTGTTTGCTGCCACTGTTCCCAAGTGTCTCAGATTGCAGGAGATTTTGAAAGCGAGGCTCCGCGACCACCCCATCTATACCCGTGAGTTGAGGAAAAACGAACTTTTGAAGAAAACGAACTTCGCGAGCGCTAACAAAAAAGGGGGCAATCTGCAGGACGATTTGGAAAAATGCGTGAGAATAAAGCGAACTTTCAAAACGAACTTTTTGGGTTTTAGTAGGGGGAAAGCGAACTTTTTGGATTTCAGTAGGGGGAGAGTGGTGGTGGTCGACGGTGTGAGGTATACAGATAGGTCGATGCGGCTAGGCGGTCTCACCGATGTATTAGTTTATCTTTTCGTTGGAGGTTTTACGTTTTGGCGAGTGTAGGTGGTGTATCTGTGTATGTGCGCGACTCAATGGGCTCTCCCCAGCCCACCCAGGCTGCCCTCATGACGAGCCCTGGGCAATTCCCTACGTTGGGATCTAACCTGAACGGTAATTCCGGTAAACCCCAGCAAGCCAAAGCGGTCAGATCTTGGCCTGCAAAGCCCCCATCAACCGATGAAGATGGTTTCGTTTTACCCAAAAAGACCGCGCGGCCTGTGTCGCCCAGTCAAACCGCTGGCCGGATCCCCGTCTCGAACGGGTTCCTGGTCCTTTCTGTGGAAGAAGTTGTTGATGCCAAAAACGATGATGTTGATGATGGTGGTGATGACAACATGGGGGCGGAAGGTGCCTCCCAATCCACGAACGCGGTCACTAACGGCCAACAACCATCCCAAGTTGACGAGGAAGACGACTTATACAGTGGCGTTGACGCCGACGCGGCGTATGAAAGATCTCTTGAACCCAACTTCCACACCCCCACTACCACTCAACCCATGAACGACTCTCCCACATATGACGCTACGCTGACGGCGATGGCGGCCTCTGAGGAGAATCCTTCCCATGGGTATTGAGTGGCACCACCAGCAATTTGACGGCGTAACGCGCCCGTCAATTTTCCCACGTAACATGGCACGCGTTGCCTCGTTCAATATTCAGCGTTCACAAAATTTGAATCATCTTGCGAACTTGATCTTTGATTCNCCCACGTAACATGGCACGCGTTGCCTCGTTCAATATTCAGCGTTCACAAAATTTGAATCATCTCGCGAACTTGATCTTTGATTCGAAGTTCGATTTTGTTCTTCTCCAGGAGTTTGCTTTACCTTCCTCTTATAATGGTCAACACAGGTTGGAAATTTTTCAACCTTCTCGTTCGTCGCTGTCGGCAATTGCATGGTTACGTGGTACTGTTGACTATGACCTCTCTCTGGTGGATGGAGGCCCCTTCCGGGAAAAATGGTCAATCGTATCACAAAATAATTTGCAATTCCCCACATCCACCCCCATGGCTCTCACCACCTTCACAAGTGATATGGTGATCCACCACAACGATTCTGGACAATATTTCTGGCTCATTTCAACCTATTCTCCATGCGAGTCAACTCCACTTCATCGAGGCTTTCATAAGTGTCTCCATGAGGCCATTCGCGCTACTTATTGCGACTTAAGGGACAGATACAACGGCATATCTACCATCCTTGGCGGCGATTTCAACTATGACCCTGCGCGAACGATCGCCAACTCCCGTCCTCATCACGTCCGTTACAGGACTTGGGCGGAATTTGAAGATCTTGCGCAGGAACTTGGCCTTAACGATGCCTTTTTACAAACCGCTCCGGCGGGGACCCAGGGGCATACAAATGGGAAAACCGGTCATGGCTCGCGGCTTGATCGGTTATACACGTCGCCCCTGGTGACGGACAAGCTTCTCACATTCTCCATCCATGCTAAGTTTGCGGGAACGCACCATGGTATTTCCATTGCCATCATCCTCGACCCGGAGAGCAAACTAGCGTTGGGTCCAGGAAGATACACGTTAAGGCCAGAAAACTTGTTGAATCTGTTTATCGACGATTGGTTTCTGTTCATGCCGCCATCTACCTATGCGGCTGCCACACTGTTGATGCGAACAGTTGAGATCAAGACTAGGCAGGTCCGAAAAAGTGCACGGAAACGTGTTCCGCTGTTGATCACCCCTCCTGCAAACAGACCTTGAAGGATTTTCGACCTAGGGTACAACCGACATACTTTCATGCTTTACGGGCCACTCCAGAGTCTGACTATGTTACGTCGACCTCCGGTATGCTCAAAATCGCAAGAGAGTTT